TAAAAGTGGTTTAAACCACCACAATTTATTTTTAGAATTTTTACACAAAAGAATTTAATTATGAACACTCAAAGGATAGAAGTGTTTTAATTGATGATACAAATTATGAGCTGCCAGGAAGTAAAAATAGTCATCAGATAGTATTTTTGTCGGTTTTAAGTGTTTTTAGAACATGAGCTATATTCTGTGTTTTTACAGTGCATATTGCAATAGATTACAGTCCAAATCTGAAGTTATTCTGTGAGATTCTAAGGAAAAAATGTGTTTGTAACACTGCTAGTTTGGGTTGAAGGTTTATTTGGCAACAAGCTCAAAATTACAAATCCTTCCTCCTTTACTTAGTTAAAATCAGATGAGGTTAGATTAAGGACAGGTCAATTCAGAGGAGCTTCTTTACCACTGGCCAGCTTGAATCTCGATTCATCATCTGGAGAAATGTAAACTTTATTATCTGAATTCTAATAGAATTTGTAAGCATAGCTTGCTATTGTAGTTGGGAAACCAAAAGCCTCCAGATTTAAGTTTTATTATTTTTAAGCTTAAGCTCTCTAAAAAATTCCAGCTGGTTTAAGATTTCATTTGCAACATTAAGTTCGGGAAATTGAGCAGGCAAAACATAGGAGCCGCCCTGGAGCCGGATAATGTGTCAGGTTCTTCATGGCTTATCCTGCCAGTCTTATTCTGTAAGCTTAAGTATTTGTGACATGTGATGGGCATTAAAGGAAAGCATCTTAAAATTATGGGTTTGCTTTGGTTTTGTTTTTAAAAATAAGTAATATGGCAATGAGGAAGACTGACTGCTTTTTGTTAGCATTATTTGCAGTTACTATAAGAAGTTCAGTGAGTGATACTGATTTATGGGTTTTTCCTATTCAGTGTGCTTGATACCCTGGTCTTAATCATAGGGCTTTTTCTAAGACAATATACTTCGGGGTGAGAGGGTGTACATATGTATATTCTTGAGGTGTCTGTCATACATGATCTGTACAATTTAAATTTTAACACCCATATTCACTTCATGGATAACAAAATCAGGTTTTGCCAATGAACCAAGATCAGAACGGTAATCTAACATATCATTATTTGTATGTTTAAAAGAGTAAAATGCTGGTTTGAAAGCAAACAGGCATTTGTGAAGTTGTCACGGTGTTATAGTCATGCAATTGATAAATACCCCAAGGTCATTCATCAAGAAAAAAATATGGGTTTTAGTTTTAGTCTTAAAATAATACTTTTTTTTTACTGTTTGTTAATGAAAAACTTTAAAAGCAGAACAGAATTTTTGGTAGTAAGACTGAAAATGTTTTAGACTTTGAAACTTAAGAATTAGCACTTTTCCTTGCTCAGCCACTGTTGAAGAAAACTGCATGTCCAGCAACCTAATTGTTGCTGTCAAAGCAGCAGGGGTACTTGTGGAGGTGAAGGCATTTCTTGGTGTTTGCATTCACTGGTGTGTGTAACTCATCTCTTTGCAGACATTGATGAATGTTCAGTGAATGGGCTGCTGTGTGACAACGGGCTCTGCCGAAACACCCCTGGAAGTTACAGCTGCACTTGTCCAAAGGGTTATGTGTTCAGCACCGAGACAGACACGTGTGAAGGTGAAAAAGCTGCAAGTTGTGTTAATTTTATAGCTTACTGTATAACATTAAAGCTAAACAATCATAAAAGATCCAGTGGTGATGAATACCAGAGGAAAAGACAGAACTAAGATACTGCATAAACCAGCGTATTTCTCTTGTAATTTCTCTGCAGTACTTTTTAGTTTGATGGATCTTGCCATTGAGATTCTTTCAAAGTATTAGGTTCATTTTTATATGAAAATATTTTTCTTTCCTTAGATAAAACATTTTTAAGCTGGAATAAAGGGGAATATATTCCAGACTTTGACCATGGAGCAGGCACATCTAGTCTTATCATTTAGGGAAATGCATCTCTTTTGATCACAGAGTCTCTTCTTTCTTTTCTTCCTTCAGTTTGTAGCAATAGTTAATTCTAGGTCAAATTCTGGTGCCTGGTATGCTTTACGTGATGTTTGATTTCCAGATTATGTATATTACTGCCTGGCGACACTAAAATGATCCTTTACAGTATAATCAAAATCGTTTTCTTATATTACTAGTGAGCAGAGATGTTAGAGCAATGAGAAGGTTACATAGCAGAAACTAACAAGTTTTAATTATTAAAATAAAACTAAGCAAGGCTGTACAGAAGAAGTCCAAATAGAAGCATTAGCTTTTGTCTTAATTTTTAATTATTCAGAGTAGTAGAACTTTGCTGGTTTTCTGCATTATTTTTTATTTGGTTCCAGGAGCTGTAAATCTCTGTATTTGTTGTCATCAGAAAGTTTTTCTGGTAAATAGTCTGTCATTGGAGTGAGTGACAGGGAAGCTGTAAGCTTTTGTTTTATTATACCTATTACGTGAACCAATGTCATCATTCAGATTTCTCTGAAACAGTCGAAGACATTATTGTCCTCAACTGCATGTTATTAGTGATAAGGTGTAAATTACTGTCATGCAGCTAAACAAGCATATAAAAAGGAAAGTAGAAGCACTCTGTAAACCATTCATGCAGTGTAAATTCAGTCAGGTTAATTTGCACCATTTCATTAGCAGCATATGCTGAACAGGCCAGCTGTGCACTGAAAGCAGGTGAGGATCACTCGTGCTTTTCGCTGCTTCTCAGCAGAGGAGTGAAAGCAAGCAGCATGGGGGGGCAGTAGTATTTTGAATGTCTCCAACTGTTCGGAAAATCAACATGTGTTTACATTCAGAACATGTCATGAAATGGCTTAAATTCTGGCAGTATCAAATTATTCACCTCTTTACCCCTTCTATTCAAAGGAAATTCTGTTCCTTTATGTTTTGTCACATACATGTTTCAGAGGTCACTTTTAAAAGTTAAATTTTCTTCTCTCCCTTTGTATGGTACAAATTATTAGCACTTATTCAGAGTAGGGCTTTTCTTGTATCATACAACCCATGGATTTATAGTGCTTTCTCTGCTCATTTGTTTCAATGCCTAGCATCTGTCCACAACGTTCAGGAGAAATTTATTCTTCCGGGTCTGTCTACATGTTTAGTTTCTGTGCACTGCAATATTTCTAGCTGTGAAAATAGCTTACTGTGTGCCCTTAATGTGTTCTTAAGAAACACAAGCTGTAATAGTAATATTAATATAGAAAATCAGAAAAGCTGTAATAGTAATATTAAAATAGAGACTCAAAATAAGGATTTGAGCACAACAAAGATTAGTTCCGTAGTTCACTGAGCCACCACAGCCTTAGGAAAAAAGTGGTCTTTTCTCTCTTCGGAACATTGTTATCATCATTACAGTGTGTTATCTCTTGTGCTAGAAGTTCAGGGATCGTGATATGGTGAAACAAATCTGGGAATCCCTTAGTATTTTTGTCAGGAGGGTGTAAGTTGACAAGAGCATGAGCGAGAGATATTCTCGAGTGGAAATTAATTTACTAGTTCATTTAAATAAATGGTTCATTGAGGAGGGCATGGCTTCTTTAGATAGCATTGCCAGCTGATACTGACTGCAAAACAACAGTATTAAAAAAAAAAAATCCAAGAGTTACAGTTAAAATAAAATAGAATTTACAGGAAAGTATATGAAGAGAAGATACTAGCAGAAATCCATCATGGCAGGCATATCCCCTCATAATGGCACCTTAGTGCAATTTACAGGGGAGGGTAAGCACTTTTAGGTTTTGTCTAAGGCAGTTAGGTGAATTACCCAAATTACCAGTTTGTGAATCAGTTCTAAAAAAATGAATAAAGAAGCAGTGTCATTTATTTAAACTAACATGTTACAGTGCCCCTGACAGTCATCTAGTAATACAGGAACTGAGATATTTCACAACCTGAACCAACATAAGCATGAGGTAGAAAATGCACTCAATACCTTATTTAAGCAGGTTGTTATGTAAATTACAGCTATTGTGAAAGAATAATTACTGAGATGTTAGTTCAAGCTCATTAAGCAAGGCTGTTTGGATTTCTGTGTGGTGATATTTTTATTAATACTTTTACTCATGTTATCTTTTTTTAACTTTTTATTTAGATATTCATAAAAGTATAGGCATTTGTACAAGTTAGCAGTATTTCTACTGGGAGTCCTGCAAGGACTAATGAAGAGCAGTATTTGATGTTGCAAAAGATTCTAGAGAAGGGTAGATACATCCCTGTCTCATCTCCTCCTCGTGGTGATGATCAGGTTCAGCTTGTTACTGAAAAGGCAGGTGTTTTTGCCATCTTCACAGAATACAAGTGGCTGTTTCCCTTGGCTGTGTTTCATAATCCTGTATGTCTGAACTCTGAGCAGCGAGCTTGTGGTTGGGCATGAATGCTGCAAACATATTTTAATGGAAGAAAAAATTCCTGGTTTCTCATTTGGGAAAAAATAAAAAAAAAAACAACAATTAACTAAAACTTTAGATTTGTAAGAATATTTCCTTTCTGAACATAGTGTAATCACCCTGAAATACTACTACTTATTGTCTGTACAGCAATATCTGAAGGATTTTCAGTTTCTTTCAATATTATCTACATTAACATACATAAGTCATGAAGGATCTATCCGTTTTATCTTGAGTCTCATAGCTAGATCGATGCTTAAATTTAGCTGGAACAGCTCGGCTGCTACAGCCCGAACCTTTGTGTTGTGCCCCGAAAATGCTCTGGTGCATATCACTCACCAGTATATCTTTAATTACTGTAATATTCTCATCAGTAACTCTTGGTAAACAAGAAAAGCCTTCACTGTTTTCATTTATATATCAACTGAAATTTTTTGTCAGTTTGTTTGTGGGGAGCGAGTGAGTTATTTGAGGCTCCAGAGTCTGAGAAACTTGAGATTTTTACAAGATCTGTGATTTAGATTGTGTTTCCAGTGACATAACTAGTTAAATGTAAACCAGATGTGCTTAGAAGTTCGTCTCCAGGAATGTACAGTAGACTGTTTCCATTTTTGTTTCTCTGAAAATGCATACAACATACAGTCACTTAAAAAAAAATGTTTAAAAAAAACCAAAAAAAATGATAATTTTTTTTTACATAGTGGCTTTTGCTTTAAAATATAAAACAGAATTCAAATCAGTTTTGTTTCTTCCTCACTTTTGTTAAAATTACCCTTTCAGATTATTATAAGAAGGTGTATGAAAACAAGTTTTTGAAACTTGTTTTCATTGTGTGTATGATACTTTTCCACCTGATTCAGCAGAGCACTAATGCTGAAGTGCACTCATCCTTGAATTTTTTTTTTTCCTGAATGCTGGTTTGGGGAGTAGTCAATGCAACATCATAAACCTGTTAATATTGACAAGTACTATATCTTTGCATTTGTTTTCTGCTGCTTGGGGGTTTTGGGGGACTTTTTTTTTTATTTTTTTCCTAGTATAGTGCTGAAGCATGTCAAATGCAAAAAGTAACAAACTGGTTTTTAGGGGGTTAGAAACCTACAGCATAGCTGCAAGATCATTTTAGAAGCAACCAGAATTTAATGTCCCCAGATATATATGCCCTAATCCTCAGTGAAAGCTGTTCTCTCCTATATCTACTCTACAGATAGAAATGGGATGAGTATTCCTTCACCTACATCAGGGCAAAATGAAATGAGGAAGACTCTGGGTCCATGATAAATCTTGTCTTGACCCTGATCTTGGAAACCAGCTTCTGCCATTCTCATCCTAGAATGCTGAAAGTGATGCTTTGTTTGTGAGATTAGTGAGAGGCTGACACTGGCACATGAGAATGGTAGAAACTGAAACTATGAGAAAAAGGGTGGAGGGAGGGTGAAAGGGAAAGTCCCCTGTGGACAGCAGCAACTGGCAGATGGAGTAAGTTCCTTTAGCAAGGAACATGTTTGATGCAAACTTTGAGTGAGGATTTAGACTGAATCATCTGACTTTGGCTTGAAATGGACAAGCAGTCCTTTGAGTCTAGAAAGTGCTTGTTTCTGACAATTGTGTTTGACCTTTCTGTTCTTCCCTGTTTTTGCTCACCTGTATGTTCAGTTTGAGTCCTTTCTCTCCCTTTACTGTCTTTGGGCAGAGAATGAAGAACATGGCCCATGAAATCAAAGGAACTTCTTCACTCTTCATACAGTGTTGAACTCTAGAAGCTTTGACCCCTCCATCTCTATTTACTTACTTGTAGTTTGAGGGACACTGATTTCCAGGTGTGGGTCTCAACTATTTTTTGTTAGTTTTGGGTTTCTTGTTAATTCTGAAAACTCTAAAGACAGGATGTGTTTTCCTAGAAGAAAACTGATTGTAAACCTAGCTTGCTGTGTATCAGAGATAATTACAGATAGGCATGATAACCTGATATTACATCCATAAATGTGAAGCATTTTAAGTTACATGCTTTTTTTTTTAATATTCTGGATGTGACTGAAGTGTTGGTTGGATAGTGGCAACTATCTGCTTACTATGATGTTTTTCTTGCCACATGGGTTGTGTGTGTGCAGACCTCAGTGTGTTTAGCTGTCAGCTGTTAAATCCATGTGACACTTTACATGAAAATCACCTGGTTTCAGCTATAATTATCTTCAGCAGGCTTCAAGCACTTCACCTATAATGCTTTTCTCTGGGTGTCTAAGTCAGACTAGATTTTAATTTTGTCTTTAAAAAATTCAGACAAAACTTTTTGTTTATTTCCAGGAAAACGTTGACTTCTTCATTGACAAGTGTGCAAACCTTGCAGTCTTTTCTTTGAAAGCTTCTCTTTGCTGTTGCAGTTTGAAATTTCTTGAGTAGTTTTTGCATCAGGATGGTGCCTCTTTACTTCGAAAATGTGCTCAGATGTAGCCAGGTTCTAAGTCTCATTTTGTATGTACTCTGTGGACACTATTTTTAGTGTCCAAAAGCCCGAAAGTTTCTGTGACATAGATTATGTCTGGTCACTCATGGGAACTTTTTTGAAGTTGCATCTTAGGTAAAAGCAGCAGCTTGCATCTGAATGGACAGAGATTCATATTTTCATAAAAGCAAAGACGTAAATGCAGACTGATCAAAGACTTCTCTGACCCACAACAGAGCAACTATACAACATTACTTTCAAAGAATACTCTGAATCCACAACAGTTGTGGTCTAGGGACTTCTGACACCAGAAGTAGGATCTTTACATGATACAGGCCTCAGTGAATTTATCTTTCATTAACTTGTCCAGACTGACATTGATTAATGCAGGCTTTCAGCATCCTAGAGCAAGAATCTCCAATTTCTCTACCTGTTGTGTAATGAACCATTTCCTTCCTTACTTTACTACGAGTCAGCTTCAACGGATGTCCCTTTGTGCTTGGGCTTTAAGCAACAGTGAAGATTTGATGCCTTTGTCAAGGACAAACTATCTATAGCTTAAATTTAGTTAATTTGTCCTGTCTTGTCAAGTTTTATAATTTTTTTAAAAGCTAAACAAGCTGCTGAAAGCAAGATAGCAGTTGGAAAGGAAGAAAAAGTGTATCTTTCTCCAAGAGCATTTCTATACAGAGAATTATTTGACACACTGTCTTGGCCCAGTACCTCCTAGATTTTATATCTCTGCATTCGTTTATGATTAATGTAAGCTGAACAATCCATAAGTTTAAGAGTAGACTGAACAAATGTAAAGCTCTGTCACTATTCAAAAACTTACTGATGTTCAAGGACAAACCCTGTTTGCTCTTTGCAGGTAGTTCCATTAAGTAAAGGGACTGTGAAATTTGGCTTTTAAATTAAGTGCTTTCTTTTGACATGAGAAGAGAGGTCACAGTTTTCTGAGTTTACTGATTTCTGTCCTGTTCCCATCTCTTTTTTTTTTCCTTTCCTTTTTTTTAGATAATATATACATAATTTGATGAATATTTTAGACATATTCCTTTCTGTGAGCCCATAAAATCATGAAAGCATACATCTCTAGAGGAAGAACCATTGCTTTAATAGATCATGCATTAATTTATAATTAATTTAAATCAGACTATTTTAGTTTACAGATATGACATTATTCCTCAAGCACTAGTAGCAAACAAAAGCAAGTACTAAGCAGTTGTACTTCTGGCCCTCCAAATGAACTGTCTGGTTGAATTAGAATGTATCGCTTGATTCAAGACCCAAATCATAACATAAAATTGGCTGAGTGCAGGAAGAAATGGTGAACGTGAGTCTGCAATTGTTCTTTGAAAGAGTTTGCTAGTATTATTTTAATCTCAAAACTGATTTCACTTTTTAAAAAAATCAGCAAATAATACTATCTACAGGGGTCCAATTCTTAGACATAAACAGGCTTAAAAAGCTCACAGGGGTAAAAACAGGAGTTAGGGCTAGAGGGAAGTAACATTTTCAATATTCCAGTTTCAACTCCTATTTCTTCAATGCTTTCCAGAACTACAGAGTTGCAGCCAGCGTTCTAATACTCTGCTTCTAACAGGGTTTTCTTAAATCTTTCAAAGCCTTGTGGAGCCATAAATAACAGAAACAATAATTCCTTTGTTTGTGCACTGTATATTGTGGCTGGGAATCCATTGCATTCTGAGAAAAAAAGTTTTGTTTTCTCGCAGGACAGTTGCAAATGATGCTGGAAAACTGTATAGTCCAAGCTGTTGGAAATTGCTGTCTTTGTAGAAAAGAGCCATTAACGCTTTCAAAGCACGTGCTCCTGTACACATGCACATACGTCCTACCTGCCTGTCTCTGTATCTTTGGAATGTCATGTTGGGTGCCAGGGGCAAGTATACCAGGAGATCTTGGCAAATCGTGGTCCCCAGGAGCATATATACTGTGTGTATATATATGTATGTATATGTATAATATTTTTCAGAAGCACATAGTTGTTCTAACAGTGTCTTTTGTTTCTGGATTATAGATATAAATGAATGTGAAAGCAACCCATGTGTCAATGGTGCTTGCAGGAATAATCTTGGATCTTTCAGTTGTGAATGTTCCCCTGGCAGCAAGCTGGATTCTACAGGACTGATATGTGTTGGTGGGTATTTCCTTCTGTTATTTTCCATTGTTCTTTCTGACTTGAAAAACATTGAGCGTATTGATTAATTGAACAAAAAAGTAATATACTTGGGTAATTTCTCCATGATAGCAGATTACGTCTAGTTCTGTAGGTTAGACCAAACAAACACATAGTAATTTCATTGCTTCCAAGGAAGCAGGAACAAACTGAGTGAAACATAATTCTTAAGGAGATCCAAACTATGCTGAAAGTTGTGAAATGCAGGTATTGCTTGGTGGCAGAGAGTGGGGATGTCATGTTATTAGTAGGAATTATCTAAGTGATTGGTCTGGCAGCTGAGAAACTATAAAGTAGAAATACCCACCTGGTTCTTCAGCCACTTTTAAAACTGACACAAGAAAGCAAATAAAAGTGGCAGAACATCTACTCAAATAGTGATAGGAAAGCAGGTGGCTTCTACAGTTCAGGACATTCTTCATAAACTATGAAGACTGACATTCCTGGCTGTAAGGAAATGCTAATGACTTTTGCATTCCAGAACATTCTCATACTTTACCTCTTTTGTAGGAAGTCGGGAAGGGTGAATAAGACAGATCTGAGTTTGTCATGATCCCTGCCCCTGGAGCAGACACGAGTATCGTCTTGGTTTTATATATATACACACACGAAATATATTTTTTTTATATATGTTTATATAATATTAGCATCCTTGAAGGATTCTGTTGCACTGAAAAACAGCAGAGCACTGCAGAGATTGTATTTGAGCTAGCAGCAACAGTTGTCTGCAAGATGTGATTGGCATTACCTTTGGAAGCTATTAATATAATTTTTTTTCTTGCATTTTCAAGAAAACTCAGAGGATTGGAGACATCTGTACTTGTTAGGTGATCACAAGCTGGCATTGTTTCATCTTATTTGTGTAGCATAATTGAAGTCATTGTAGTATATGAGGGATAAATTGAGTTAGTGTCATTAATAACTGGATGATGTTAATTTTAAATGTTCCTTTTATTATAAAATGGATTTGTCTGGAATTCTTCGTTAAACTTTCTTGCCTTGCCAAGATTTTCTTCAAGATAGGAAATTGAATACAAAGACTCAAGTTTCCATTTAATGATGGAGTCTTTCTATGCCTTGATGGATTTTTTTAAGTGAATGTTAATTCTGTCCCTAAGCCTTCTCTTAGATTTTGTTGTAGTGTCACTGGCCAGTAGTGTTTAGTACTGATTGTGTTCTTTTTTATATTGTGCTAATTTCTTCATATGACGACACTAACCTGTGTGTTTTTTGTAATGCTTATTTTTAATCTTGTTCTCACATCCTACAGTGCTACAGGTTCACTAAGATCCTAGTTGTCAGTGTTCTGAATTTACTTTGCAAATGCTTTCCTTTGGAATGTTTACAGTGTGAGGCCTCATTTGACCTGAATACTAGTGACAAGAAATGTAAAACATAAAAACAACAACAAAAAACCCTGACCAGTCAGATAAAAAGTGAAGAACGGGAGCCACCTATATACTATGATCCTAATCATTAATTTCTCACGTTGACCAAAACTGTCTCAGGAAAAATTTTCTATAGTACAGATGAGAATATGTTAGAACAGAAGGGTCATGAGTGTAGCTAATCTGAGTCATACAGTTTTCTGCTGTTTGAACCCAGCTGCATGATTTTCTACCTTGGCAAAATTTCCATTGGAATTGGAAGTGATGTGAAGAGGGGAGACTGGATTATATTGAAAAGTGAGTAAGAGTTTGGAAGTTTAGGTAGTTTACTGTCTGAAAAGCATGCGTTTTAAATATCTACAATAGAGCAAGTTGGTTTTCCCATTACCACTGCAGTGAAAGACTTGTGTATTGAATATATTTGCTCTAGGTTTTTTTAGTGGATTCCTCCTCTGTGTTCATTGCTGCTTGGTCTTATTGCTGATCTTCACTGTCTTGTAAATTCAGGTTATGTATAGTATATTAGACTGATCTTACATGGAGAAGTTCTATGGCTGATGCATGTTCTTTACTCAGTTTTTGGACAGAAGGCTTCACTCTTGACAGTTCCTCTGGGTCCTTTGCTCAGTCTGTTCAGCCTCAGGGTTGAAAAACCAGGTGTCTTGAGGCATTTGCATCCATATTACCTATAAAAATTGAGCTATAGATGTGAGCCTTTTCTTTTGTTCCCTTCAGCTTTCCTGGACAGAGGAAAAATTACTTCCTCAAATTATAGTCAGAATTCAAGTCACAAAATTTGCTTTTAAATTTAAGCTCAAACCTCCAGCAGATGAGGGTAATTAGTTCAGCACTTAGAGTGAAAACATTCAGCAAAAATGTTGATGTATCTTGCATTTATTTTGTCTTCACACTGACAGTGTTTGCAATATTGAGGCAGCACTCTTAGGAGAGAAAATTAGAACTGTTTTTCAAATACATCTGTTAGTGGTACAAGTGTTGCATCGCTATCTTGGAAACTGATTATACAGTAGAGATACTGCCATTTGTGCTTTTTGAATATGCTTTCATGTTGGATGATAGCTTTTGAACCAAAGCAAATGTGTCAGTCACTGCCCATTGTAGATTTCTGCTGGACAAGAGAGATTATATAAAATAAAGGAAATTAAATTATAACCTATAAAATATAAGCAGGCTTTGGCAGGATAACAGAGATGCAGCTGAGGTGAGGAGTGTCACCTGCTAATTTGTATAGTTTAAACAATTTTTGAGATATTAGTTTGATTTTTCCATCCTTTAAATTGAGCTACTAAAATAATATTAGCTTCAAGAAAGTTCTAGTGACTAAATCAATGGAAACATTTACATTCTGGTAGCGTAAAGCAGAGACATCAAGACATGATCAGCAAGCTAGGTATGGCACAGAAGAGCAGCTAAAGAAGCTATATTCCCTCTCCCTGTATTGGTCTCTGAAGTTGGGACATATGATGGCCAAGGACATGCCCATCCCGTGACTAGCTAAGAGGTGACCTGAGTAATGACTATCTAGGTTTCATCTTTGGACTTGTTATGTGGACCCAGATCTTGACTGTTAGCTAAAGGCTGATCAAGCTGCATCAGTTAGTACCCCTCATCAGTTTGTGCACTTGCATAAGTGTGGTATTCTGCCCCACGTGTTTGAAACTAACAGTAACCTAAATAAAACAACTGTTTTACACATAACTGTTAATGAAGTGTATTGCCTAGTTTGTAGGACTAATTCCAGCCACATTCTTGGGCCACTTTTGTTCCTGTTACTGTGGCCAAAGAAGGATTGTGCTCTCTGTGATCTATATTACATAATCTTATGGTAATTTTCCAGAGAAGTTGAAGTTGTTAGAATTATTCCAGCTTTTTTTTTTCTATCTTAAACACATTGCTCCTAAACATGAGAAGTCAGTAATACTGACCAGCACCACCTAGTAGATGGTCTGGCTTTTTGTACATGTAATACATGTAAGTTTTCAAAAGAAATCCTGTTCTGCTTTCATGTGTCATCTTATTAAATTCATCTGAGCCACTTGCTTAGCTTTGAACTCTTGAGTATGCATATGCATTCAGTCTGCACCCAGGCTGATGTCCCAGTCTGGGTTATATTTTTACAAACTGCTTTTACTATCTGACCACAATTGTCTGCTTCGAGAAATTTTGTACCATTTGAGTATAAAATTGTAAACATACTGAGCAAAGGTACTGTAGATACAGCTTTTAAAGTGCATAGCTGATTTAGGATCTGACATTTTAAAAAAATGGCTTGGGCACTGAAAGCATAATTTTTAAGACTCAGAGTTTTGGATACCTAAAATAGAATTTCAGTGTGTTTCAGGCAGCAGAGGCAACATTTGTGGCTGAAGATCTCCCCTCTGCTCAATGGCTATAAAGCCTGGGCAGCAGTCAGGAGATGCTGCCTGACATGGCTGGGCACTTACTGGAATTGGTTTGCCCTGAGCTGGTCTGGGTTCCCAACCTGACAATTGAATTTGTGGCTGTGGAGCTGTGTGTGCCTGGGGGTGAGCCCTCAGTAACAGAGCACGGAGTCTGACCTAACAGCCATCCACGTTCAAAGCATAGCTAATGCACCAGTGGAAGCAGACCCCTAAAAGAATGTAGCACACCTCTATCCCCCACGATTTTATCTTTTTTTTTTTTTTTTTTTGCTTCCTGACAACTTGGAAGGTTCACCAAGTGAGAGAGATACAAGTGCACCTGTATTTCATAACCAGCTGGTTCCAGTTAATCACCTGGAAGGGGAGTCCCAGGTTGTGACTTCTGATTTTGTTGTAACTCGTGTGTTTTAGACTAGAAAGTCACTAGATAAAATAAATAAAATCACTGTAGTATCTGGAAGACCTCTGCTAGCTGTAGGACCTGGACTGCAACATGCCTCAGCCAATGTGCTCTGTTGCTCACTTTTACTGATAGTGCTATTTGTTTCCACCACTTCTAAACTAAAATGTGTAAAAAATTACTCCTATGTAAAGTTTTATTTTAAAACAGACCCTGTGTGCTCCCTTGGTACTCTGTCTACTGATGGCATGAGCATGGCATGGCAGCTCTTTATGCTGTGACAATTCCATATTGTTTTCTATTCTGCTGCAGATAGCCTGAAGGGGACTTGCTGGCTTAACATCCAAGACAGTCGCTGTGAAGTCAACATCAATGGTGCTACACTGAAATCTGAATGTTGTGCTACTTTAGGAGCAGCTTGGGGCAGCCCATGTGAGCGATGTGAGCTAGGTATGCTCTCATATCCTGCATCTTTTGGAAGAAGAAAAGCAGTACCACTAGATAGATTCTTATAACTTTCTATATAGAAAACAGACAACACAAAAATCCTATTAAATGAAGTTGTCCTATTCAGCATCACTTGTAATTGCCATCATCAAAGATCATTCTAATAACATTGAAATAACATGTCAATAAATTTTTAATAATTACATATGTTTCATTTCCAAAGGGACTGTGCATTGGGGTAGGGAAGTAAGGACTACAATAACAAGGTCAAATATCTGATTAAAATCTTCAGGGCTTTTTATATTGTGGGCTGTTAACACTTCTTACAGCTGTTTTCAAACACATAGTTCATGTACAATTGCTGGTTGCAGAGTAGTGCTACTATTAGATTACAAGGCTAGGTGCAGAATCTGGAAGCAGTAATGCTAGCTGTGTACTTTAGTTTGTGGAAAAAATACCGTGCTGCGTTGTCCCCATAAGGTTTGAATAATCCCAGTTGTGGCTGAGACAGTGTCTGGATGGTTCAGCTTTTCATTTCTGGCTGGAACAATAACTGCGGGTACAGGTAAACCTGCTAACAGGCATGGTGCAAACAACATCCAGTAGAGCTCTTAACTGTACAGTGCAGCATCACGCAAAGGTTTGGGCTGCAGGAAGCAGCACGGCCAAGTTAGATTGATATAATTAATAAAAAACTAAGCAATTGAGAGATAATTAGCTCAGACTGTGTATATTTGGCATTTAATTTCCTAACTAGTTAAATTTCAGCAAGCTTTCATATCACTACATCACACTGCATTTTATGTGCATACCCTAAAATGTCATTGCTCATATTCTTTATTAAGCTGCAGTGGAAAACAAAAACCTTTACTAAGAACTGCCATCACTAAAGTGTTAAATCTTCAGGCAGCTTTACAGGAAATTTACCTTTTAGTTACATCTGAGTGCAGAGATTGATATGACTAGATGTTGAGCATTCTGTAATTCTCTACTATTTAATTTCCTCAACTATTCACTTGTTTTAAGTAACATGCATGAGTCAGTACTTTTTTTGATTGAGGCTAAAGCACTCACCACCTTATACAGTCAAATTATTAGAGAATTCTTAAGATACATGTATTTTTAAATTATTTGCTCCTACATTTATGTTATTCTAAAGCAATGAAATATCTTTATGGCTTGTTTCCAGACACAGCTTGCTCAAGAGGATTTGCCAGAGTGAAGGGTGTTGCCTGTGAAGGTGAAGCTTTTTCTTCTTACTCAAGATGTCACTTTTTCCCCTCTGAAAATAATATAATAGAGGATTTATTATGTTGTTGGCTTTGGTCATAATTATAATGATTAGATTAATGCCTTTGCAAGCATTTACTGTCTGTTGGGAAGTGTTGCGTTAACACCGTTGCAGAATGTCAAAATGATACAAAGAATGCAACTGCTACTTCCATTTAATTCCTTTAGTTTTTCTTTTCTCTACCATATACATCATCTTGTCTTAGAGAAGAGAATGTGGCTTCTTGGTGCCCTAAGACTCGAAGATCTTACAAGAGTCCCTTGAAACTGAGCCAGATGCTTGTTCAGAGCAGTTTTCAGACCCTAATACAGTATGGATTAAAACCTCTCACTTTCATGTAGCTTAAATTCAATAAAGCTGTAGCTGCCTCCCTTGAGCTATCGCGTAACCCTGCTCTTTGTTTCCCCAACAGATGTGAATGAGTGTGATGTTTTCCCGGGGGTTTGTCCCAATGGGCGATGCGTTAACAGCAGAGGCTCGTTCCACTGCGAGTGCCCCGAAGGACTGACACTGGATGGAACAGGGCGAGTGTGTTTAGGTGAGAGCACACTCAACTCTGCCACCTTTTCAGCTGTGTCCAAGTGTTGTCTGAAATTATTCTTAAAGGAGCGTGAAAGGATGTTTAGTTTGTTTCTGAATTCCTCTGCAAGTAGTTTAAGTGTGCATTTTAGTTCACACCTGCTTAGATATCAAATGCATGTGCCAGCAGAGGGAAGAGCTGTTAATCCTCTGGGGTAACGTGAATGTCTGTGTTACAACTTGGTTTTCCCACAGTGTAATTAATAGAGTGCTGCCTTTACTCTGGCTCCTGTTCAGGAACAGAAATGTCTTGAGTTGGTGGGAGCCAGAAGGTAAGAAATCAGTTGGTCAGCTAACAGCTTTTAGTGCAGTGTGAACGGTGCTCTTTATTGCTATCTAGTAATTTTGTGAAACTTAGATACTACCTTGTAGCACAAATACACTGTCTGAGAGTAATCAAAATGGATATAGAAAAAGTAAGACACTGTCTTTGTACAGATTAGTATCTTTACTCACAAAACATGATATCTGTGAAGACATGCATTTCTCTAGGAAAAACTTCAAGAACAGAAGATAATGAAGCCCTCTAAAGTCAAGAAAACAGTAGTATCATGTAACAAGTGTATTGTTATTAATATGCAGCTTTTGAAATCAATGATCAGAGATGAACAAATATAAAGCCAGGGTACTAGATGTTAAGAATAGATTCTGGAATCCATATTAATTTTTCTTACCAGTTGACAGGACTATACATGAAGGGAGATGAAAGGATCGAGAGCAGTTCTGAGGAGAAGGACTAAGGGGTACTGGTAGATAAAAATCTGGATGAGAGCTGATGATGTGGTTTTGCAGCCCAGGGGGATAACTGTATGCTGGGCCACATCAAAAGTGTGGCCAGCAGGTCAAAGGGAGGTGATCCTGCCGCTCTACTCTGCCCTGGTGAGGCCCCACCTGAGTACTGTGTCCAGCTCTGGAGCCCCCAGCACAAGAAGGACGTGGACCTGCTGGAGTAGGTCCAGAGGAGGGCCACAAAAATGATCAGAAGGCTGGAGTACCTCTCCTGTGAGTACAGGCTGAGAGTGTTGGGGTTGTTCAGCATGGAGAAGAGAAGGCTCCAAGGAGACATTACTGCAGCCTTTTGATACTTAACGGGGACCTGTAAGGAAGATGAGGACAGTCTTTCTAGCACAGCTTGTTGTAAGGACAAGGGGTAAAGTTTTTAAGCTAAAAGAAGGTAGATTTAGACTAGATATAAGGAAGAAATTATTTATGTTGAGGGTGGTGAAATGCTAGAACAAGTTGCCCAGAGACATGTTAGGCACCACATCCCTGGAAACTTTCCAGGTCAGATTGGATGAAGCTATGAGGAATGTGATCTAATTAAAGATGTCCCTGCCTACTGTAGGGGCATTGGACTAGATGGCTTTTAAAGGTCTCTTCCAACCCGAAACATCCTATAGAACTGTAGAATCACAGGACGATTCTATGTTCCCTTTTATTATTTTAATGAAAAAATATCCTTTTATATTACAAGGTGCGTGCCATCCTCTTTGCACTGTGTACTATTCCATGTATTTCTGAAATACATTTATTTCCTGCCGGATGCACTACAGTGATTCTAGCGCAAACAAATTTTTATTAGCTGAATCTCTAGAAATGAAAATAAATGTAATCTTGATGTAGAATAGTTTACAGGAAGCCATGAGTATTCTTTGAATAATTTCTGTTTCTTATACCTCTTTCTAAATTGTTTTACTTCAGATGTGCACAGGGTAAATTTATATTGTAAACCTGCACAGCTTTGAAAGGCTTGTATGGAAAACAGCTCTGTGTTATTTTTAGATCTTGCATTTTCTCCAAAGCTTTTTCTGCTAAGCATTTAAGAGTTCTGTTAGATTTACTAAACCCTAACTTGGAATCTGCTATATCATCTGCACTTAAATGCTTGACCTCCAGTCCATTTTAATGCTGTCAGGAGGCTCTCAAGTATGTCCAGAAGTTATTTTATCAGATACAGTGTGTCGTTGTGATCTTCCATACACACTCAAAATAGCTGTTTTCCTGGAAAGCATTAAGCTACCAATAAACTTCTGGATAGTATAACAGACATCTACTCTAGCACTGCTGTGATTGATACATTTCCCATTATTGGTAGTACTTGCCAGTTTTTTTTTTTTTTCATTTGGGAATAGAATTTCTATTATATTGTAGAAATTAGCCTGTAGAGACTTAACAGCCCATTTTTTATATCAATTTTATATTTTAACAAATACTATTTTTTTTCTAAAAATCTTAAACTATTTTTCTTTACTGAGATACAAATAGGTGAGAAACATGGAATATACTGGTGCTTTCAAATAGGTTACTGTTGTTATTTTTACTGTGAGATACAGCAAATCTGATTTTTTTTCTGTGTACAGACCAGCGTGTGGTACTTTTCCTGACAGTTGGGTATACAGGCACAGATTTTGCCTATACACTTGGTTGATCTATCTTTTGGTTGACCTGCTTTTCTGCAAATGGAACCCTTAAGTATAACCATGATTAATTTTTTGTTCTGTACACGTTGTTGTTTTCTCCTGCTAAGTGGTGTTAAAGTAAGCCTAACAACAGCCAGCAATTTATTTTTTTTTTCTGTATCCCTTGTATTACTAAATTAATTCAATAGTATAAACATAGGTAGGATTTTTTTTTGCCATGAATGCAGGTCAGTTTGTAAATGAGAATACCTGATACATACATGCCTCTGTTTTATCAAATACACATAGAAACCTAAAAAGCACAATCATGTTAGCATAATGGATATATCTTGATATTGGGAGACAACAAAAGAAATGGTTGTGCTTTTGTATGGTACAAGAGAGATCCACTGTAGCACAATATTAGCAACTTCAAATGGTTAAACACTGAAGAACTGTAGTGTCTTGACAAGAAATGTCTCCCAGAAACTGAGCCTCACATGTACTTGTGCTTTAGAATAGCTGCTTCTGAAAAACAGAGAACTTTAGGAAAAAGTAAAATTCCCATTTGTTGTTGTAAAATGAGCAGATATTCGCACGGAGCAGTGCTACCTGAAATGGGATGAAGATGAGTGCATTCAGCCTGTGCCTGGCAAGTTTCGTATGGATGCCTGCTGCTGTGCTGTGGGGGCTGCCTGGGGCTCTGACTGTGAAGAGTGTCCTAAGCTTGGTACCAAGGAATATGAGACTCTGTGCCCAAGAGGTCCTGGGTTTTCGAGCAGGGGAGATACTCTAACTGGCAGGCCATTTTACAAAGGTAAGGCCCATTCCTGGATATGAAGTGAATAATAGGTACACCTGGGTGAATATTCTAAGAAAATGCCAGGGTTTGTGTGTGTTATGTCCTTGAGATGACAGATGCTATAAAGATGTTTGCCTGAAAGAGCTGACCTTAGAGGTGGGAAACTCTCTGCTTGCATCATGTTCAAGAATGTTAAAGGAGCCTAGAAGGAAAAGGTACAAAATTTGAATTTGGTAAGGAGAAAAAAGAAATTACTTTGATGGGACTGAAGGGAGATCTAAGTTATGAGCATGACAGAAAATGTGCACTTTTTTTAAAGTACTGTTTTGTAAAGGTGCTTAGATGCTTACGCTTTAGGTGACTGAGATCTGAGAAGAAAAACTGTAAGTTTCTGCGTGCAGAAGCTGAGGTGATCTGGAAATATTTTGCTATTTACTTTTAAAAGGATGTACTCTGAATCATTTGTCTAGAAATATGTTGTTTGAGAAAGCTTTAACAGGCTGGACCTCTGTTTCAAGGTAGATAAACTCTGATGTTCAGGAGTTACAGTTCTCAGTCAAAGCTCTCAATATTCAGTGGTGATTTATTAAACAAATAAGGAATTTAATAATAGGATCATTGTTTATTTTTAGTAACATTTATTTAACTAGAAATAATAAACTCTTACTTATTTAACAATATTAAAATCTTGTCCACCCTCAAGATTCTTGTGAGGTTTTGCTCCTTCTTTCTGCTGTTGTTTGGATTCTGTTTTAGAACACAAGGAAAGCTCATTCAAGTTTGTAAATGCTTTTGGTGGGGGTGGTGTGGTGCATGAGAGAGGCTGACACATGGAAAACCTCTGTTTACCCTGTCCAGGATATTCTAACAGCCTGTGTTATCCAGCAAAACACATTTAGAAGAGGTGAAACACTAATACTCTATAAAGAAAAATTACCCTTTTCTAAGCTGAGCTCCAAAAACCACTTTGGTATTCTCAATTTTAAAACAAAACAATCAGCCAGGTAATAGTTACATCTTTTAAAAATGGGCTCAGGAGCACCATGAATATTCGTTGTGTTAGAAAGCAAAATAGAGCACAATACACATATTGGCGTCAGAGGCAGAAGAGTCTCACCTCAGGGAATTTCACTGAGTTTAGTTGATTACTGATTAACACAATTCATTATTACTGGTTTGGGTACTGAGCAGCAAAGAAAGCATAAACAATTCAACAGGTAGGGAAACATCTTTGCTCCCCTGCTTCCAAGCTCAGCTTCAGCCTAGCACCTTGCCTCCACCCTTCCTGGTGTCCAGACCCCCTAGTCCCATAGATGGGACAGTTGGCAGCACTGGGCCTTGTGGGCATTGCAGCAGGTTCTCTTTGTTACCTCTTGTTGCTTGGTCTTTTACCACTCCTCCCTTCTTACTCGTTTCCTGTGCCCTGGCATGTCCTTCATGGGACAGAAACCCTTGGGGGTGTTCCTGTTCCAGCACGGGCAGTCTACAGCCCACACTCCTTCACGATGTCCCAGCCTCAGTGTGGGCCACTCATGTACTGAAGTCTGTGGAGAAGGTCCCTGCCCCAGCATGGATCACCACAGGTCATGGTCCCTCAGGGGTCTCCCTCAACAAGGGTTTCATGTGGGTCACAATCCCTCAGAAGTGTCTCTGCCCCAGCATGCATCCTCCATGGGCCACTGTCTCTCAAGATGCTTCGGCCCTGCTTGGGTCACCTGTAGGCTGCAGTCCCTCAGGCATGTCCCTGCCCTGGCAGGGTCACCCATAGCTGCTGTCTCTCAGGGGTATCCCTGCCCTGTGTCTTCCACAAGCTGTGATCCCTCAGGGGTGTCTGCCCTAACATAGGTCCTCCACAGGTGGCAGTCCCTCAGGAGTTCCTCGCTGGACGTGGGAGTTCAGCCTTCCACGAATGGGTCTCCAGTTGTTTCTCCAACAACATCTTCTGCTTGCCTCCTCGGTTTCAAGTTTGCATTCTTCTAGCCTGTGTAGGAAGAGGCCATCCCTTCAATCGCCTGCAACCCAAACCATGCCTTTTATGCCAAATAAAATTGATAAGAAGGAACAAGAAATTACCATTAATTACATATATTTGTGTTTAAGAATCCTCTTTTGTTTTTATTTCATAGATATCAATGAATGTAAAGTGTTCTCTGGTATGTGCATGAATGGTAAATGCAGAAACACGATTGGAAGCTTCAAATGTAGATGTAACAGTGGGTTTACTTTAGATATGGAGGAAAGAAACTGTACAGGTAAGTCCTGCATTTTCCCCACCGTTTCCTAGAATCATAGAATTGTTCAAGTTGAAAGGGACCGCAGAAGTCATCTGGTCCAAGCGTTTGTGGGAAAGGGAGCCCAGACGAGATATTAGCTAGCACCCTGTCCATCTTGAAAACATCCAGTGTTGGGGATTCTACCACATCCCTGGGGCATTTTAAAGGAACTTGCACTTGTTGCATTACTTGCAAGCTGGAAACTTAAGTCCATTTATTTCCTTCTGTTTCTAAGAGCTTAATCTGTGGACAGAATGACCAGCTGCCTTAAGCTTCCCTTTCAGAAAGCGATTCTTTAGGAAATGTAATGCTGTTCTTGTACATGTACATTAGGATTTTTTTAAAGTTGGTGTTAAAGATGCTCAGGTCATACTCTTATCAGTAGAACCTGACAAATCAATAGGGATCACCAGTGAAGCCAAGTTCAGTGTTTTATCATACCAATTAACTTAATTATATTCCTTATTCTCTGGTTATTTTATTACCAAATGAACTGATAGACTCTACTGCAAGCTAATTTTCATTCAGATTGGTTAGCCAAGCACACACACAGGCACCTCTGCAATTCTGATGTCAGTGTAACGTTAACTCAAGAAGAGATGTGTTTCATTTAAAAGTTTAATATTTCACTTTTTACTGCTTGGAAAAAAAGAAGCCGAAGATAAGCTTGATAGTTCTCTGGTTATGAGAACCTGGACGCCTGCATTGTGGGTGGCTGTGTGCTGAAATGAAGGAGGTTTTGTTACGCCACACAGGTGTCTACGAGTGAGCATGAGTAATGCAAAGTGTGGGTGGTAAGGCATGTTAAGTGAGGCCAACTTCAGTTGTTCTGGATGTTAGTGTTGCCCTAGCTGGTGATTTCCTTGTGTTTATAGTGATTGCTTTGATGAGAAATGCATTTAACAAACGCTCCTTCTAAACTAATAGGTCAGAAAATCTCTCCCCACAAAGGCTTTTTGGGTTCTGTTTTGAAAGTTTGTTGTGGTTAAAATAATCTACTGAGCAGCTGTGGATGACCAAGTTTTAATGAATGGAAGACTCTTTTTTTTGTTTTAAATTAGCAACAAAGTATTTTATAAAGCCTGTGGGAGGCTAGATATTTTGTAATATCCCAGGTCCACGACACAGGTTACCCTCCAACACCTCCACACATCTGTGTGTGAGGACTGAACTACCTTCACAGAGCAGAAAACTGGGAGTGACACAGAACCAAAAGAGACTCTTCATTGTGGTGAAAAAAGAACTGTTTAAAATCTGTAGCACTTTCTTTAGTTAAGCTTATACTTGCTTAGTTTTCCTGAACCATGTACACAGATGGTTCTGCTGCCCAGCTCACCAACTTGCTGCAAGCAAGTTGATGCTGTTCTCTGATTCCTTGCTCCCTGGACAACTCAGATGACAGAACCAGTCCTATTCCCTATCCTAGACTAACGTCTTCAATGTTTCAGAAATTCTGTAATTTTTATTCCCTGCAAAAATTGAATGATTTCTTAATATGCAAAAATTAATGACACAGCAGTAGATGAAGCTGAAGGTACAGAACATGAAACAAAGGCATTGAATCCTAGTTCACCCAAAAAACACTGGATGGGCAGTAGAGTAAGGAAGAGAGAAGTCTGGAGAGATGTGAGGAGACAGTAAACAAGCTATCTCCTCCAACACTGACCTATTTCACTGGATCATATCCACATTACGAATTAATCTTGAGCTTCCTGCTTCAGTACCACTGTGTCTCTCAAAGAGCTCTTCCTTCTTTTCTTACCTTATACCAAACCTCCTGTATTTTTCTACAATAAGTTTCATTCAGACTTAACTAATAAGATAACCAGTGAACTGTAAATGTAGCTGCCAAAGGAGCTGCTTTAATTCCTAATGGAAAGGGTGTGTATAAGCTTATAATACCATTACTGGATAAATGTCTTCATAATAACCAATTTAATATGAATGGCACTGTAGCCATGGAGTCACTTGGTACCTCTATAATAATAACAACTCAGAATTTGTTACAGTTAGTAATTTCCTTGGAAATCTAACCTTAATTACACTTAATGGAAGCTTACTTGTTACATGCTTTAATCTATGGTTGAGAGCTCTGAAGCCGTTGAATATGAATCTTTCACAAACTGTTTCACATAATCAGATATTACTTAAAATGTTAAATGAATTTAATTTTTCTATGTTCACTTCTATACTGTATGTAGTATATGTACATGTAGAGAGTCATATACATATGTTATATATATGGTATGTGCATGCTATATATAGTCACATACCTATGTGTGTGTATATATATACACACAGAAGTATATTTATATATACATACTATATATATGTAGTCATGAGGAGAAAGACTCGGGGGTACTGTCTGATGAAAAGCTCAACGCAAGCCAACAACGTGCGAGTGCAGTCCAGAAAGGCAGTCATGTCCTGGGCTGCATCAAAAGATGAGTGACCAGCAGGTCGAGGGAGGTGATTCTCCCCTTCTACTCTGCTCCTGTGAGAACCCACCTGGAGTACTGCATCCAGTTCTGGAAACCCCAACAGAAGGGGGGCATGGACCTGTAGGAGCTCGTCCGGAGGAGGGCCATAAAGATTATCAGAGAGCCAGAACACCTGTCCTATGAAGACAGGCTGAGAGAGTTGGAGTTGTTCAGCCTTGAGAAAAGAAGCCTTCAGGGAGACCATACTGCAGCCTGCCCCAGTCTCAAGTGGGCCTACAAGAAAGCTGAGGAGGGACTTTTTGCAAGGGCTTGTAGTGACAGGATGAGGGGTATTGTTTTCAAAGTGGGAGAGGGTAGATTTAGATGAGATGTAAGGAAGAAGTTCTTTCTTATGAGGGTGGTGAGACGCTGAAACAGTTTGCAGAAGAAAATTGTGGATGCTTCATCACTAGAGGTGTTCAAGACTATGTTGGGTGGGCCCTTGTGCAACCCAGTCTAGTGGGAGGTGTCCCTTGCCCATGGCAGAAGGAATGGAACCAGATCTTCAAGGTCCCCTCCAAGCCAAAGCATTCTATGCTTCTGTATAATTTCTGTAGGTTTAATTTATAACACCCAAGTGTTCAATTTTGTGGAAAGCAAGATAACCTGTTTGATTTTTCTACCTCTCCGTTACTATAAAATAGATATTGATGAGTGCCGGATCTCGCCAGACTTATGTGGAAGTGGTACTTGTGTCAACACTCCTGGAACCTTTGAGTGTGAGTGCTTTGATGGGTACGAAAGTGGATTTATGATGATGAAGAACTGTATGGGTAAGTGTTGCTAGGGTGACCTTGAGTCTGCCCATTCACTGTACAAAGCCTGACTGTACTCTGGGCTGTGCCAGCTCTGCTCCACTGAGCCCTTCGTACATGTTGTTATTGTGACTTCTTGAAAAAATGAGACAGATCCACCATTTACTGCACAGATAACTGAACTGTGCGTGTGCTTTGCTTATTCTTTTTGCTAATTATTTTTACATGTTTTGGTATAGAAATGTTAGAATGGAAGGAACTATTCATTCATGTAGTTTAAAAATATCTAATGAGGTATACAAACATTTGGTAAACTCAGGATAGAAGGTTGGAATAGCACAAGTAGTGTGATTCTTCTAGGATTCAAGAGATTGTGAGACCGTTTCCTGAAAAATCACATTTGTTTAATCTACCTGAAGTTTTGATAATAGATATGGAGACAACAAAAGTTACTAACCACCTTAAAAAAATCTTAAGTTAGTGTTGTGGAATACTTCATGGAATGTATCATGAAATATATACTGAAAATGAAAAATCTGAGATTTCCATCTTGATGAGGCTGAATGGATCTTCCTCCTTGCCCTTTTTGAAGACTGAATTGATATTTTCTCTCCTCCTACCCTGATCTTTGCCTAATTTCCATGACCTTTTAAGGATTGTCTGGAGAGGCTTCAGAATTGCACTGGCCATCTCCCTCTCTGCACTTAGGGGTCTTTTCCATGTCCTTTGTTGGCAGTTCTCTTCCCACGTTTCTCCTTATCTTTTTGCTGCTGCTGTCTAAACCCTCCACATCACTTGCCAGGATCGATTCCTGGTGGATTGGGCTTTCCTAACCCCATCCCTACACACTCAGTTATTGCCTGTATATTTATCCTCCATCCCTTGTCCCTGCGTTTTGAGTCCTCTATGCTTCCTTTTTGTGTTTGAGTTTTGTCAGGAGCTCTTGTGCTCATAAATGAACTGAAGTAAGTGACCCTATGCCCCTTATGCGCTTGTGTTCCAAGAGGCCATGCAGGCCTCTTGTCATCTTTACTTGATTTCCTGCAAATTGTTACGCTTTTAGCCTCCAAAAATCAGCAAAAAAATCATTGCCTTAATCACAGATGAACAGAACAAAGAAGCTAAACTGAAAGTTGACGAGCCTTCATGAGAGAAAGAGTACAAGTGCAGACAATCAGTACTGTATGGTGGACGTACATTATGTGTAAGAGAGGCAGGAAAACAAGGTGTCACATAAGTAAGAGTGAGGAAATAAGAGAAGTTTCTTCCTGAGAGCCTTCTGCGGGAACTAAGAAAGGGAGGACGCAATGTTCAGTGAAAACATTGTGGAGCTGTGAGGACTATTTAAGCAGAAATTGTAACAGAAGAGATGTTAATTCTATAATCAGTTTCTCTGCTTGTGAATAACGTGCAAACCCTAATGATACCTTGCCTATATTCTCAGGCTAATGAAAGGTAACATTAGTCTACCTGCCTGAATAAAAGTCTCTCGTTTTGAGGACAGGTAGCCATAACACTTCCTGGGAATTCAAAAATGTGTGTGCATCCTGCACCTTGAGCATCATTTGGTCATCGTTTATTTCCGTCCACATCTGTCTACACGTTAGCTGTTTTTATCAGGTTTGTGAGTCGAATATTCAGTTTGCCATTACAAGCTGTAGCAAGCATATGTCTCAGCCACACAATGACATATGTAGGAGTTACCAAACTGAACAGCCATTTACTTAAAAGTTTACACACACATTCCCATTAATGGCATCCACAGACAAAACTTTCAGTGCATACACAAGTGTGTGTCCGGTTGGATTAAGAAGCACTTTTTTTAATATTTTATCTCATTAATATGTTGTTCTGGATGGCAACCATGCAAACAGTTGCTGTCTTTTCTTATGTCCCATGTCTCCTAGCATACTTAATATTGCATGATGAAAGTCAGGTTCTCTTGAGAGGAAAAATACACATTTTTAGAGATAATCGTGTATATGGTTTTGTTTGCCCTGTTATGCAGTATGAAGAAAGAAGCAGCTCTGCTTCAGTGAAACAATCCTTCTATTTCTGACCTCCAGATTTTATTACTTAAAAGACACTGAGAATTTATTTTATCTTTGTTGCTGCTTAGTAATGATGTTATATTTATCATGATTTCTTTGCAGATATTGATGAATGTGAACGTAACCCTCTGCTGTGTAGAGGTGGCACATGCGTGAACACTGAAGGGAGTTTTAAGTGTGACTGTCCTTTGGGACATGAGCTGTCACCATCACGTGAGGAATGCATAGGTGAGTTTCAATTCAGAATCATAGTGGACAGCTTTGTAAGAAGTGTGGTCATTTGTGCCATGAAAATTTCTTGTCTCTGGAAAGGATAAGCTCTCAGGAATTATCTTACACAAATTTATGCTCCTCTTTTATATGAGTATCTTCAAATTAAAAGCTTATAACAAATCCTGTAAACACTTTGTTGCCCTTAGTGCTGTTGAATTCACAGTGGAATATTTTACCAGGCCTCTTGGGGATCATTTAGCAATTCAAAGGACTGTACCACTCATGTTGTCAGCTTTCAAGTAAAAGACATAGAAGCACAAAGTAAACTTAATTCCTACAGCCAGTAAAATGTACTGTCCCTTATTGAAATGAATTTTTTCATCAAAATGGTGAAAAAACTGCAAAAATTGTAATGCGTATTATCTCTTTGATTTCTGCATTTGATACACAGTTGCTTCATGAGTTAGGTTAAACCATAGTTAGGTTAAACCATAGTTAGGTTTAATCACAGTAGACTGTACAGTTAATGCTTATAGACCAGAAAAAGATAAACCTTTGGACTCTAGCTTAAACATACTGTACAGAGCTTCATACATTGAACTAGAACACGCTGAGAACAAGAGAGAAAATGAAAAAGCCTGAAAACCAACAGTTTACATTTGTGCTGTTAGAGTCTGCATTCTGAGTAGCAAGTAACTGATATGAATTATTCTTCTCCAGATGTAAATGAGTGCTCATTAAGTGACAGTCTCTGCAGAAATGGCAAGTGTGTGAACATGGTTGGAACATACCAGTGCTCCTGTAACTCTGGGTACCAGGCCACTCCTGACAGACAAGGCTGTGTAGGCAAGTGCTGTACACCTTCACCTGTGTATTTGTGCTTCAGCATATGTTGTTCCATCTGCATTTGGTTTCATTTAATTTCATAACTTCCTTTTGAAACTGAGCTGGGCCATCTTCTCACCTCCTGTTAGGAACTATTGTGGACCCTTCTTTTACCCTATAAATATAAAGAAGGTATAAAAAAGATTGTTGCTGTACTGAACTCTGGAGAATACTTTGAGAAAAAAATATTACAGTTGTACTCCTTCATTAAAATCAGAGACTCGAGCTAACAACCAGAAAATATTGCTCAAGCAAGAATAGCCGTGTGTAGTGGTAGTTTCTCTTTCACTTTTTTCCTGTTTGTGTACATCTCTTAAATCCTTCACTATAATACTGAATTATGTCATTGTCATCACATTGGTAAGAAGAACAGAGGTTTTTTATTTGTTGTTTCTTTTTTTTTTTTTTCCCCAAAATATAGATTTGTGCTACATTTCAAGCTTTAATGAAACCTAAGTTTCTCAGGACTTTTCTTTCCTTTCCACATGCACCTCTTTTTACATCCCTAGTAATACACAGGAACAAACACAACAGCTAAAAGTAGCCACTTGCTCCCACAGATTAAAATGCAGTTGAAAGAGAGAACGTTGAACAAAATATAAGTCAGAGACAGCTGGGAAAGCATAAAAACGCAGAATCACCACTAATAAAGTGTTCCGTCTGCTAAGTAAAATGTCAGGAGAAGATGTCTTTTCTTTTGAAAGTAGACTCACTGCTACTGGTGCTGTTCCCGCAGACATCGATGAGTGTATGATAATGAACGGAGGCTGCGACACCCGTTGCAGGAACTCGGAGGGCAGCTATGAATGTAGCTGCAGCGATGGCTACGCTCTGATGCCAGACGTCAGGACCTGTGCAGGTACGTTCTAACACCTTAAAAGTTCCAGCATCCCGCCTCTCGGCCCGTTTGAACACGGCGTGCTTTTAGCCCATCTGTACCAGACTGACAGAATTATTATCTGCTTTTCCCTTTCTTTCCAGATATCGATGAATGTGAAAACAGTCCAGATATCTGCGATGGTGGGCAATGCACTAATATTCCAGGGGAGTATCGCTGTCTCTGTTATGATGGATTTATGGCTTCAATGGACATGAAAACTTGTATTGGTAAGTAACTCTGTGCACCAAATTTAGTTTTCAGTTTTGCACACATACTCATGTTTAAGTGACCAATTTGAAAGTTTAGAACTGATCTTTTCAATAACTTTTCATATTAGCCATGTTAGTAGCTGCAAAATCTGAATACCTTTTCTCATTTTATACACAACTGCTCTTAAATTATCTTCTCTAGGACAGCAATATCTGATATTAAGGATAGAAACCTGCAATGAGAAAGTGTGAATTTCTACCATGTGTGTCATTATTTTACTTGGTAACAGCATCCACTTCATAATAAAACCTTTAGGGTAACTACAGTTTCTTACTGGACCTAACACTACTTTCAGCAAAATAGAATATTTCTTTTTTTCAGCAGAAATATTATCAATATCTTGTATTTGTTTGACAGTATGTGAAATTAGATGGTCTTTGCCATTTAACTAGCGTAGTATTGTAGCTATTTGAATAAAGTCAAAAAGTTGACATAGATGTAACTCATAATAAGACTGCTTTAACTACAAGTTTTTAAGCAGGTATTTAATTTTAAATGATTCAGCTTTTAAATGATGTAAATTCTGGCATAATGTTAAGGCTTATATTGAAGATTTAGCATGCAGTATAAGAATCTAAAACACAGTTCAGGTAGGAACTGCATTATTCTTCAAAAGATGTTCTCCTAATGGGAAGTTTTCATCGTATATGCAACACTTCATGGAATTGGGAGGAACGGGGAGACATCAATGGCAAAGTTAGTCCTCATGGAACTTCAGTCTGCATTAAGGCAGCAAGTGCTGAGCAGTCACATTCTTGAGGTATCTGGGAAGAGAGTCTAGCACAGGAGCACACCTGCAGTCCCAGTGCCCCGTTTTTCATTGTGACATTATTTTTCTTTTTGTAACGGTTGTGGGAGAGCTTTTTCAGTTGTGGTTCATCACTTGTTCTTTCTGCAAGTCTTTGCCCACTCTGCCTGCAGCCTGCCTTCTTGAATGCTACCTGTGTGGTGGCTTGATATCTTTCTATGTACCAGAAATAGCCCCAGCTTTTGGAAGCATTTCTTCTCAAAGGCACGCTCTTAATGCCTCTGCTCTTTATCCTCCCCCAAACTGGCTTTCAGCAACACCATTAGGACAATGGTTATTAACCTCTTCTTTCATTCCTACTTAGCCTCAGCTTTGATAAATATTTTCATTTTTCTTCCTCACGAGATGTCTTGAGTTTTCTTTCAGTTTCTTTCGCAAAGGTACTTTGTTATCAGCAAAGAATTTGCCTCACCACACACACATACAACCTTGGGGTCATTACAGAAAATTATTTCCTAGCTACTCATTTTCTGATGGCATAGCAGAGTGATAGATACACATCTGTACTAAAAAGCTGCCAGTGATCCTAGGCATTCTCCAAAACCTAAATGAAAGGCTGTGCCAGAGCTACTCGTAGCCATGAAGTACTGAGAGAAGGAGTTTGAACTTTCCTTGTGTCCCTGAGTTTCCTACTTGTTATACTTCATAGTTAAGGCTTTTCCAGTGAGATTTTTTGGAAGAAACAGGTCAATTCCTATATTTCAGGGTTGTCCCAGCAAGCAGAACTATAGAGGGTAAGTCTGCAGATCTTGCAACTGAAGCGACTTAGAGTGTGACAGCTTTCCTTTGCCTCAGTGTGACAACTGGATATACTAGGGAGATAAAGGTTACTGTAATGAGGGTATTTAGCACACTGACAAAATCAGCCCTGTTTAAATACACAAAACTAAGTTTTACTAAATTCATTTAGTAACACCATATTTGTCAGTGGCCAGTTCTTACATAATATTGATCATTATCACTTCACATACAAAACTGTTCTTAACAATCACATTCTGAATTACATGCAAGTATACAGTACCACACAGCTGTTACAGGCAGTTTGCACTGAGTGGTGTCCAGCTTTTGGTGTTGCTTAGTCACAGAGGTCAAGGTGTTTGAGTTTGAGCACCTGACTACAAGAAAAGATGGAACTGAAGGGTTCCATCTTCTGTCTTCTCCAATTTCCCATGCTTATGTTTTTATGCTATCGCCTCCCTCACAAAAAGGAGAATGCCTTCTACTCCTTGTAGGGCTTGTCTTGTTTTCTTGTCTTGCCAGTCATTCTTCTGATGTACCCATTTTCCTGCCTACCTGTATTCTCTTGTACTTATATTGTCCTTTCCTCATATAAAATTCCTCAGTTATCTGCTTGACAGGTGGCCAGTTCTAATTTGTTCTTATACCAGTTTCATTGTTTCATAATACTCATTCTTTCCTAAGTTGAATTCTTATTTAAAAAAAAAAAATAATA